TTTTTGTCGTATACGGGTGGGGAACATTTTCCCAAGGTTTCAGCTTTCTAACTTTTCTCGTTCCCGTGTTAGCGATTTTCGCGCCAAAACTTTCACGTGCTCGTACGCGGGGTTCAGACATGCGTGAGGGTTGAAAATGCGGTCCTGGGGTGGTACCTGGCTGGGGAACACACTGGCAAAATTTCAGCTTCAAAGCTTGCGCTGTTAGCGAGTTGAAATACCCGGACAGACGAACACACACACACACAAACATACACACACATACACACACACACACACGCACTGACAGGGTCGTTCCAATATGCGTTTTTGCTGTCTGTTGCAGCGCTCTAGCGCTGCACGGCAAAAACGCATAACTAGGCATATCAGTACGAACAGTCGTTCAGTGTAAACAACTAAACGTATCTCTTTGTAACTATACAAACAACTAGGCTTCCGGCCGAATGAGCGAACAGTGCAAAGGACACTGATAAAATCTGGTGGGCGAGGATACTGCTCATTTCGCATATCATGGGCAGAAACTGGGGCGACGTCCGGAAACGTGGTTTGTTTGTAATAGCAAAGGGAATAAGAAGGAAATGGATGCATGCTGTTTAAGACCGAGGGATCTGACATAGCTAAGCCCTTCGCGAAAGCACATTCCAATAAGATCACTGAGATTGATCCCCCACACCTCACCTAGCATTAGCTGCTTAATTTTTCACATGCAGTTGCTGCGTTCCACCTGCATAACTGTTCAGTTGTGAACGAATTCATTTTTTACCTTTTTTCAAGAATCAGTTTTAAAATACAGATTGCGATAAATAAGGCTTACCTGTGCGATCATACACTTTTATGCTAAAGTTGCAGCGGTCAGGTGGCTCACAGCATGAATTGACGCTGTGTTAGTTTTTTTCATGCGTTTTTTGCACCTATGCGATGCAAAAATCGTTGGCAACACGCACCAGGCGGACTCGTACGACCATGCTTTTTTGCAGTGTTTCGTGCTGTTGCAAAATCGCTTGGAGTCCCAGTAGCTGGAACTTGCGGCATTCTAGTTGTCGAAGATCGAAAAGCTAACTGTGCAATTACACGGTACTTGTCCAGAGAATATCCGCTTAAAATTTCAGCCTTCCAGCTTTCCCAATTCCCAAGTTGGCGATTCTCTCACTGGAAAAATTCATGGGACCCTACGTGGGACCATGTACACCTAGGGCTGAATTTGAAACCTTTGAGTTCTGTGTAAAGGGGAGCATGACTTCAAAATTTCAGCTTTATAGCTTTTCTGGTTCTTGAGGTAGCGATTTTCCTGCCAAAACCTTCACATGATTGTACGTGGAGCTCAGAAGTGCGTAAAGGTTGGTACTGCTACCCTGAGGCGGCACTTGGCTGAGGAACTCATTAGCAAAATTTTGATGCCAGAGCTTGCTTGGTTACTGAGTTGAAATATCCGGACAT